CCCCGTTGGCGTCACCGCCGCCGAGAAAGGCGACGCCGCTCCGATTCCTTGGTCGTGTCGCGTCCCAGTGTTGCCTGGCGGTCTGGGAGGAGCGGCGGTTGTACACCGGCGACTCGACGGGGCGAAGCTCGCGCGACTCTGCGCGGCGGAGGATCTCGAGCAGGTTCTTCTCGATGGTGATGCAGATGGCCTCGAGTGGAAGGTCGTGCACCTCCGTCGTGAAGGGGTGCTCGATCTCGACCGAGATGGCGTCGACCTGAGGGAGCGGCTAGGGGAGCGGTTTGAGGGCAGGGAGCAGAGCCAGACCAGTCAGCTGGGAGGCGGGAGGCGCGAGGGCGAGCGGTCGCGCCTTGAGCATGATGAAAGAGACAAAGGCGCAGACGACGACCGTCCACCACTTGTAATCTCCGGCGATCGCGAGCGGGTACGAGAGGAGCCAGAGGAGCATGAAGATGCGCTGCTGCGCCAGGTAGCCAAACGGCATCGGCGTCTTCTGAATGCGCTCGCAACCGCCGAGCGCGTCGACGAGCGACTTGATGTCGTTGCCAATCACAATCTTCCACCCCTCGTGCACCTCGGCGGCGGAGCCCTTGGCCCCCACCGTCTCGTCGAGCTCGTCGCGGATGCCAGCCTTCATCTCGTCCACCATCAGCATCGGCAGGTGCTCGTACACGTAGCCCTGATCGTCCGCTTCCTCCTCCTCGAAGGCGCTCTGGTCGAGGTGCAGCGTCGGCCGCCGCTCGAGCGGGCCCGTGTACCGAGAGGTCATCGCCTGCAGCATCTCGTCCGTCACGAGGCTGGAGAGCTCGTCGGCGGAGGGTCGCGTCGCGCGCAGCGACGCCTTTGTGCACCACGCGAAGAGGATCGCCGCCTTGATCACGCGCCTGCTCACACCGCGGGCGTGAATCCAGGGTGCGGCGGCACAGTGAGTGCCCGCGAAGGGAATGGCGCCGCTTCCGCTCGAGGTCGGTCATGAAAACGGCAGCGTTGGAGGCGACGTTGCGCGTTGAGTTGACGATCTGTCCCCACAGCTTGCGCGCCTCCCACCACCGGTCGTATGCCTGATTGGTGCGAAATGCTAGCAAGAGCGAGAGAAGGCTGAGCAGGATGTTGTGCGCGTGCGCAGGGATTCGCCAAGCCGGCGCGTTTGGCTCGACGGGCGGCAGGTCAGGGAGCAAGGCCTCAACCTCCTCCGACTGCGGCGGAGACGGCGCATCCCGAGCACCCGACAGCTCTCCTTGCATCCACATGTCGAGGACTGTCAACGCGAGCGTGACGATGTTGACGGAGTACCAGATCCCGGGCGGAAAAAACTCGCGAACACTGATGAGCGTCTCAAACCAGCTCTCGGTATGCTGCAGCGTTGGGGAGTCCTTTGCGATCCTCGCCCGCGCCTCGGCACGCGAGTGGTATATGGCGGTCGCCTCTCGGCGCATGCGTGGCTCTGCAACGCCCTCGAGCTCCTCCTCCGTGGCATCCGGCGACGCGATGGAAGAGACTGTGATGGAGAGCAGGCTGCGGATGGACGTGAGCATTGAGGACGCAAACCCCGGGTCACCGACGGCAAAAGCTCGCGGCTTCGTTTCAGGAGAGAGAAATAACGCACTGCCCTCAGCGGAGCTGGGAAGAGGACCGCCGCAAGCGGCGTGGCGTGGAGCGGTTGTGCATCCCTCCGGGGGCCCCTCTGCGCCGGGGAGGCGTTGTTGGAGGCTAGGACGCAAGCGTCCGTCGCCCTTTTCAAACTCGCTCGGGGCCCACTCCGCTACGCTCCGACCCGAATTTGGAGGGCCTGAAAGTTTAAGGTGTTGCTGCGCAAAAGGGGTCGGACACCGGGCGCAGCTCATGCTAAGAGCTAGAAGAGGAGATAAAGAGAACAACCACCCTGTCCCGTTATTGCGTACACCAACACCACAAAACGCTCTCTCTCTCCTGTCCTCACTCAGGGGGGTCACAACTACCAAGTCCCTCGACTAGCTGCCACAGGGCGCAGCTGCCACAGGGCGCAGCTGGAGACGCTCCCCCTCAACATCCACCCCCACCCGCTCCAGCCCCACTTCTGCTGCCGAGAGAGCTGAATCGAAGCAAGCGAGCCATTGCATCTTGGCGTGCTCCTGGAGCGCGGCTTTCTGCGGCCACGAGCACGGCGGAGTCGGTCGTAGCGCGCATCGTTCCCGCTCATCGCTCATTCCTCCCGTGACGTGTGTCGGCCGCGATTCGATGTCGCCACCTTCATCGCCAACGAGGACTCCCTCGACTGCAGGGGGGCTCCGGCGCGGGGAGGGACTCCGCCTGCTGCGCTGGCCGACTGCGCCCTCCTCCTCCATGGGATCGATCCGATTCCGCAGCGGCGGTGCTGCGCGGGAGGCGGCCGCGGGCACGCTGGGCTCGATCAGCGGCTTTCCCCTCAGGTAGCGCGAAAGCACGGATTTGGCGGATTCTTGGCTTCAATTTTACGAAGTCTTGGCACACCAGCTGAAGGCTTGCACGGCCCAGATCACGCAGTTCGTGCACGGTATTCGGATTTTGCTATTTGTTCGTGTGGGGGTATATTGCAGATTTGTCAATGGTACCGCGTCTGCGACGCGGGCGCCTTCGCGGTTTCTACCACGACGCGATCTTTGTCAAGCGCAACAACTTCAACCTGCTGCTCCACGAGACGTTCGGCGGCGGCTTCTCGCCCACCGCCGTTCTCAAGCTGCGCCGCCTCGCGCGCAAAGTCGCGCGCGGCAGCGTCGACCGCACGGCCTACTCGCCCAAATACTCGCTTTCTTTTATGTCCCACCATGCAGAGCGCATCTCGGTCTCTCTGTTGTGCGAGGCGTGAACCGCGCCATTCGCTCTCACCTGGCAACCCTGTCTGCACGTCTCGCGCGCGCGTGAACAGGGCTCCAGGCCCCAAATGACGTGTGAGTGTTAGAGTTGTTTGGTATTGAACGGACCTTACACGCCTGTAACCTCTCTTTAAGGTATTGCTAAAAATCTCTCTCTCTCTCTCGCATATCGCTCTCGGGCCCACAGACATCCCGCACACTCGCCGCACACCCGCCGCCCCCGCGCGCGCCCCACCCCGGCCGGGAGAGAGGGGAGTGACAGTTTAAAGAAAGAAAGAAAGAAAACAGACAACCCAAGGGAGGGATGGGAGGACGGCACGCCGCCACCGCACAGGGATTGGGAGTGACAGTTTGGGACGGCGACAGGTCGTCGTTTTTGTTTTTTGAGCTTAGCCTTCGATGTTATGAAAACAAACGCAAGGCGGACATGGCATATCGCTCTCGGGCTCACAGACATCCCTCACACCCGCGCACACCCGCCGCCCCCGCGCGCGCCCCACCCCGGCCGGGAGAAAGGGGAGTGACAGTTTGGGACTCGCAAGCCCGAGTATGTTGAGTCCTGGCTCAACAACGCAGATAACAAGAGGGGGTGGTCCGGCTCACGGGTTTTGTTTTTTTGACGCTTCCCCCGGGAGTCGCCTAAATCAGCTGCACCAATCTACTGCTGCCGACACCGGCGGCCGCACACCACCGCAGCTGGTCGTCGTCAGCAAGGCGCGCCCACACCGCGGATAGATCCACACCGGCCGGGCCGTGACGATCGCATGTTACCACACGACCACGGCTCCCGCCGTCGCTGCACGCAGCGCAACGTCCGCACCGTTGCAGCGTCGAGCTGTCGAGCTGTCGGCGGCCAGTCCCGGCCGGGTCCGCTGGCAGACCGCTGGCAATCCGTCGACGCTTTCCCGCACCGGACCGCCATTCACCCGAGCCCTCGCTGCTCAGCCACCGCGCCTGTGCCCGTCTCTCCTAGTGGGAGCACCTCTAACCTCTGCATCCGGGCGCAGTGGCGGCCTCAGCGAGGGAGGGAGGGAGACCACGGAGCGCGGCCGCCACCAGCTTCGACCCGTCGCCACCGCCCGATTCCCGTCCCAGACATTCACAGCCCAACTTCCCGCGATTCCACACCAAGTGCCTTCCGCCCGCCGTTCGCTCGCCGACCGCCCGTCTCCCGTGCGATGACTGCAGGCTCGAACGGCGCGGCAAACGGCATGAACGGGCACAAGACGGTCTGCATCGTGGGCGTTGCGGGCTTCATCGGCTCTCACCTCCTAGAAAAGATCATCCGCGAGAAGGACTGGCATGTCGTCGGCATCGACATGGTTGCGCCGAGCAAGATCCAGCAGCTACTCGGCGCGGAGAAGAAGTGGGCGGCGCGTTTCGAGTTCCACCAGGCACGGCCTGCCCGCACACCCGCCTCGCTGCACGCGCTCCCCCTTTCCCCGCCGCCACCTGCGGCGTCTTCAGAGCAGAGCAATGCGCCGCCTCTGCCGCCTCTGCGCGCTCTGCGCCCGACTTTCAGTGTGCCTCTGGTCCGCTCCGCAACTGAGACCCGCAAGTGCGTCCGCAGATGGACGTCACGACCAAGGAGGGGGTAGAGTGCATGCGCGAGCAAATCAAGCGATCCGACACGGTGAGCCTCCCGCCCTCGCCGGCCCGCTCGCCCGGCCGCCGCACTGGCGGGGCTTGCTGGCTGCTCTCTGTCCCTTTCGTTGCCGCACTGCCACCCGCCGTGCTCTCTCAGGTGATCAACCTCGCCGCGATC